GCGAGCACACAGTCCACCTGATGATAAGTGGTTGTTGTGGCCCATAGACATCTACATCTATCTTCGATTACGAATCAAAATGCAGATGCGTTGTCACCCGTGAGGACTAAGATGGAATGCCTCGTTTCCAGCAAAAAGGGGTCTCCGGTTCTCTACACTCACCATACGAAACACAGCAGCGTTAAGCTGCTATTTTTTTAATGGTATTCTGTGAGAGCGTGGTCCTTCCCCGGTCGAGCCGACCCATTCGTGTTACAACTATACCGGTAATATAGCTGCAGCATGGCTCTACCACGTACAAATGAGATGTTGAGACAGCTAAATTAGTTTATTTCAGTTACTTTTTTAGCGTAATGTCTTATGCAATATTGCTATGGCGTAATGCGACTGATATTGAAGCCATATTTGATTTGCAAAAGAGAGCCGTACGGGCGATTTATAACTTAAATTGTAAAGAGTCCCTCAGAGAAAAATTTAAAGAAATAAACATATTAATTTTGGCATCGCAATATATTTATGAAAATGTAATGTATGTACATAAAACATAAATAGCTTTAGTAAGGATAAGGATGTTCATACTTTATACACTAGAATAAAAGGGTTATAAAAAAAGGGTTATTATAATATCAAGGAATACTTAATGAAAATCACTCCTGGGAATGAGGTTCTATGAAAATTCATTATAAATTGTACAAACAATATTATTGTAAAGTAAAATATGTTTAAAAAAAGTCCCGCTGGGTTTCTTGCTAGTTCTTCCCAGAACAGAGGTATTTTCCGAACTAGTGGTAAATAAAAAAAAATGACTTTCAATAAGTATTATTTACATAATACTTATTGAAAGTAATTTTTAATCAATATTGAATAAAAAATCATTCTATTCTATTTTCAATTCTGAACGGGATTTAAGGCAAGTAAGAGTCCCTATTTTCTAATATGCAAGTTTTTTAACGATGTTTTTCTTCACCACAGAACATGTTGTAAATCAGCACTTCAAATTGCAATTCACAGTTTCATTGGTGCCGGCGGGGATCGAAACCGGGTTGCTCGCGTGCTGTGAAATGGATATTTATGGCGTTTATGGCGAGCGACAAGTTTTTGAACTACCACGTATCATAAATGACACATATTTAGCTAAATCATATATTACATAAGCTTACTTCACTAAATTATATTATTTATAGACATTATAATAACTTCTTAATAATATATAAAATAACTGAATTTTCAAATCCATGTCCGGACAGAATAAATAGTTTTTTTAATAGCTAAAGGTCACGAGTAGAAAGTATTCTTAGTATTTTAAAAGATAGCATGTTCCGTTCAATTCTCGGGAATTTTGCATGAATCGTTTTAATGTCGCTGTACCTCTGTAGGGCAGTTTTAAAATATATTTTCTCACGTTCACGTTATAGTAGAACATAACAAGCGAAATGTATAGGAATTATAATATATACCGTTACCTCCGTAACTGTCTGCCGTCGATATAAGAATCAGTCGAGATCATAGTCGAAATCATGCACGTCTCGGATAGCATAGCATATATCGGCACGAATTAGTAGCACTTTCAATAACTGCAACCGCTACAATATCTAAGCGGTAGACATGCATGTCAAAACATTTTACGATCGTATAATGGTTATATAGCTCTTAAAGAACTGTAACATCGCTTTTTACACTTGTTTTTTATATTTTTACATAATTCGTAACATTTTATTACTTTTATTTTTTTCTCTGTTCGTCAAGTTACATTTCAGTCGGTTTAGCCATTGTGAAATAAGCAGCCATAATCCCACTCAGCTGAAAAAGAGGCGGTTATTTCGATAATACAGACAGACACTTCAATTTTATTTATAAGTACTTATAGATATAGATATTAGATTTATAAGTAGTTATAGATATAGATATTAGATTAGACGCCTTTTAATAAACCTACCGCAACCACAGAATAAATACCCGCAACGGTTTGTAAAAAAAAAATAAGTAAGGAGGTACGACACATTCGGTCCTAATGTAATCGTGATGTAAGACTTCGAAAAAATCGTGTTTTATGATATTCTCATGACGTCACGTACGTATGTCAACCGTTAGCATCCATTTAAAACTCATTATTTTCGCTACTAGAGCTTACGGTAGTAACATTTACGCTTGTACAATAGGCTTGTGCAAGTGTTCATGACCTATAAACGTAAAATGATTCAAGTAGAAAAGAAATTTGTAACTTATTTGACCGATAACAATAAAGAAATAAATATTATAGAGCCTGGAACATAGAGCTCTCATAGCTATGTAGAGCTAACTCTAAACCTAAGCCTAGGTCTTCGGCTAAATTGACCATGGTTTATGTAAACTAGTATAAAAATAAATATTTCTGTTATAAAAACAAAGGTTAAATTACCTTTTTATCAATTAAAAAAGTAGAAATATTATTTAACATTAAAAAAAAGTCGCCATCTCTGGACCTAGGATGCTATTTATCTTCATTACAGCTATGTAGAGAAATATTATGTGATAGGCGGATAGGCCTCGGCCACAGGGGCATCTTATATTTATATATATATTTATTTAGAAGTTATATCAACAGTAGTACATATTAATTTGTGTATGCATATAAACAAGTCTTATAAATTATTGATATGCTCGTATATGCATATTGGACAAGGCGTTCTAAGAATTTGGAAAGGAAAGGCAGAATTGAAATAGGACGATATTCAAAAAAACTTGAAGGGTTTGCTTTTTTGGGTAAAGATATGACTAGGGAGTCCTTCCATTGGGAAGGGAAAGAAGATGAGGATATGAAAAAACTAAAGATATAGGTTATAGGTGTTAAAAAGTCTACCAAGGGAATGATAATTTTATATATATTATCATATATGAAATGATGATATATTTTATATATATATATTATATATCACTTCCGGCATACCTATAGGTACGCAACATTGATAATAAAGCACAAAATTAAAACTAAAACTTATGCGGTAAATTTGAGGAAAACTAAAGGAAACTTAAGGATAGGTATAAAATAATGAAATCATGAAACAATTAAAAAAATCTTCATCTCCCGATTTCACCAGAAATTAAATGCACGAACTGCTTAATGTTACGGTTGACTTTATGTAATGTGAAGAAAAATATTGGGTGTAATAGTGTGGTAATAGGGTAGAAGCTTATGGCTATAGGCCATAGATGTTCTCCAAATTGATTTTTTTTGATTTGCAATTTATAATTATATTTATAAATTATTCAATAATGACTATTTATTTAAAGAATTTTTACCTAGATTAGCAGCCCGTATTTCACTAGAATCATTAAAAAAGTAAGGCGGGTAGGTGACAATTTAAGCTGAAAGCACCTAGTTTTAACAAGACCCTACCTTAAGACCTTGTTGTTTATCTTAAGGATAATCCGCCACTGTCAGTAGGACGGTGGCATAGGTGCGAGTGTCAATAATAGTTATACATTTTTCGTATTGTAATAAGTCGAAGTCGAGTATGTATAACATAACATAATATGTAGATAATCTCACTGCAGACATTCAATATCTTCTTCTTTATATATCTTCTTCTTTGGTGCCTACTCCAAACGCACAATATCATACTTAACAAAAGCATAAATCAACGAATTTACGTAGTAGTTATGCTAAAACTCTGCCTGTTTAAATATCTTGTGTCAATATTAACAGCGACAGTGGGTATTAGGTGTGCTTTGCGACTATACGATGGCTTATATTCCTATATTTACACGAAAACTAAATTTTCTTACTATTAATTTTAACTTTTTTTTTTAATTCGAGACGATTTGATTTTTGAACGTGGTAGAGCCATGCCGCAGCTATATTAGTAGTATAGTTGTAGCACGAATGGGTCGGCTCGACCGGGGAAGGACCACGCTCTCACAGAATACCAGCGTCAATTAACAGCTTAACACTGCTGTGTTTCGTATGGTGAGTGTAGAGAACCGGAGACCCTTTTTACTTCAAAAGAGGCATTCCATCTTAGTCCTCACGGGTCTGCATTTTGATTCGCAAACGAGGATAAATGTAGCAACCACTTACCATCAGGTGGACTGTGTGCTCGTTTGTCACCCTATCCTATAAAAAAAAATTCGACAACATCGTTGGTGCTGCAATCTGCTTGGGATCTCATAATTAATAAAATTAAATCCGAAATCAAGCATACCACTGCAAGACTTCGATATACGGGGACTGTAAGCTCGTACTGTGTAGGTTAATATTTAAAAGCTGAAGATAGCTCTTGTCAGGTGGCGGCGGCGTAATAGAATTCATTTTTTATTTCTTTCTATTGCGACACCAATGGAAACGTCAGAAAAATCTTAAAGATTCCAATATATTCTTTTTATCTTTATTTTAGATTATATTCTTTGGCGTTATAACCATATGGTTTACACCAGATGTATAATAGTCAGACATGAGAGAGAGAGTATGGCTCTTAAAATAGGGGCAACGTATAAAAAAACTGAAGTAAGACTACCAGGCAGCCAGAAAGAACCAAGAACTACAAGTGAATTGAAGATGTTAAGATAGGTTGAAGACTGGAAGATTTTACATAATTTAATAAATTAAGAAATTTACAATGAAATATATTTTTAAATATAATATTATATATATAACTTCTTCTACATTACAACCGTGCAATTCTGCTGATTCAAATACACCCTCACTTACACTAGTAACTGAAGATAATAGAGAATCCGTAATCCCTACCTCTGATGTTGCGCAGGAGGCTGTTCAGGCATTTCTACCTGCGTCTATAAAGGCAGGGAAGCCCAGGATGTGCATGAAATGGACATCTGAACTCAATACATTTATTATGCGCACATATTACTATATAACGATGTTAGAAACAGATTTAACCACATATAGAACCCTTCTTCACCAAAAATTTACAGAACAGTACCCAAGAATAAACGTCTCAGAACAATGATTATCTGATCAACGAAGAGTAATAGTACGTAATAAGCTATTAAGTAACGAAATTCTGAGTCTATTACAAGAAGAAGTAAGGAATATATTAATTGAAGAAGAAAAGACACACAAAGACTTATATACAGCAATATCAACGTTGGCAAAATGTAAACAACTACAATCATACAATTCCTCACACCATCCTAGCACTCAATATAAAAATAACACGCATTCGCAATCGACAAACTTAATGATAGAGGTACCAGACATGCAATTACAGACACAAAATCCATTAACTAGAGGCACACCAATGTACCAAAATTGTAATCTTATGTCAGACATATCCACTCAAACAGATACCCTAGTAACAAACACCATGATAATTGAAAACGAAGTAGAAACTCCAGTCCTAGATGAGATAGAAAACGATTTAATGAAATCACATTTTAGGGAAAAACTACAAACCGCTATTTTACAATATGCTGGAATAGACCCTACAGTGCACCCTAAACTCCCAAAGCTTAAATATAGCAGACAACTCTTAAAACTAATACACATATTTAATAACAACATTTTGAGTCAATGCATACATGAGACCTCAAAAATTACTGATATTCACACAATTATTTACTGTACTGCATTTGTAATATCTCAAGAATTAGGATACAAAATTACTAATAATGATAGGCTCACAAAACGTAAACAGGATACTACACCAATCTGGCAGATTCGATTACAAAGAGATATAAATAAGTTGCGCTCAGATATAGGTAAACTAACATAATACATTTTTATGAACAGAAGATCTAAGGAGATAGTGGATAGAGTTACAGCGATATTTAAAAACATAAGTTTACACACAAGACATGAAAGCAACAATAGCAGACCGGAAGAATTCCTTGATACCCTAAAACAAAAATTAGCCCTTAAATGTCTACAGAGACTAATCACTACAGAGAAAGTAGGACAATAATTTATTCATAAATAACGAAAAAATATTTTACAGAAAGTTAAATGCAGGCTTAAGAAACACAACAGCAGACAACATAGATAGACAACACCATGATACATCGAACAAAGAGGAGTTAGAATCCTTTTGGTCAAATATTTGGGAGACTCAAGTCACTCACAATACAGAAGCGAAATGGATATTAGAAGAAAAAGCTCGATGGGGAGCAATAGAGGAAATGAAATTTGAGGAAATTACAGCTGAAGATATAAGAAACATAACATATAAATTACATAATTGGAAATCGCCTGGTATGGATAAAATTCATAACTTTTGGTACAAAAAATTAAAAGTTTTACATAAATGTATAGCTAAAAACTTAACGGAAATTATATTTTGAAAACAAGATTTACTCCAGATTATAACTAAAGGAATAACATATATGCTTCCTAAAGGCCAAAATTCATTACAACCATCTCAATATAGACCTATTACATGCTTACCTACAATTTACAAAATACTTACATCAGCAATCACTTGCAAAATCAGAACACACGCAGAGACACATAACATAATTGCTGAAGAACAGAAAGGATGTTGGCGCGGCTACATGGGGTGCAAAGAGCAACTGATAATTGATTCAGTTATTCACAAACATGCAGCTGCCAAAAAACGAAATCTACATTGTACGTTTATAGATTATCAAAAGGCGTTCGATAGCATACCTCACTCCTGGTTGATTGAAGTACTTAAACTTTATAAAATTAATAACAGTCTAATTGAATTCCTTAAACCCATAATGCCACGTTGGAAAACTACCCTTTATTTTAATAGTCATCCTAACACTATAACTACCAGGGAAATATCGATAAAAAAAGGCATCTATCAAGGTGACTCTTTGAGCCCTTTATGGTTTTGTCTTGCTCTTAAGCCTCTGTCTCATATTCTAAACATTCAGGGCACAGGATATCACCTTAAACATGGTAACACCGATACATCAATAACTCATTTAATATACATGGACGACATTAAACTATATACAAAAACCTACAAAGAAATGGACAAACTAATAAATGTTACTGCTGAATTTAGCCGAGATATCAATATGAAATTTTAATTAGACAAATGTAGGACCCTCCATATAATAAAGAGTAAGATACGTACAGGAGATTACGCAAAAGATGACAATGAAAATCAGATAATAACAGCCATGGTACCGAATGACGTTTATAAGTATCTGGGATTTCACCAGCTCAAAAAAACACCTAATAAAAGCTGTGAATACTTACGCCATACCAGTACTTACCTACTCATTCGGTATAGTAAAATGGAGAGAGCCACACGATCAATACTAACAAAACACAACTACCACCACCCAAAATTGGCTATAGAAAGGTTAACAATAAAGAGATACAACGGAGGCAGAGGACTCATAAATATACAAAACCTATGGCAAAAACAAGTACACGGATTGCAAAATTTCTTTTATCAAAAATCTGATACGAGTGACATACACAAAGCAATCCAATGTAATGACCTCAATTACACACCGCTAAACTTACATCAAACTACTTCACAAAGACCCCATAATTTAGTTACAGACCCAGAGCAAATTTTAAAAGAAGCATGGAAAGAAAAAGTACTGCACGGCCGACACTATCATGATCTGGAACAACCCTTGATTGATAAAGCTGCGTCAAATCAATGGTTAAAAATAGGTTCTTTATTCCCTAAAACCAAGTTATAAATATTCAAAATTACAGGAAATATATCATTAAAGACCCCACTGTATTAGATGATAAGTGTCGAAAGTGCCACATACATTCTGAAACCATTCAGCATATAACTGGAGCATGCCCCCATCTCGCCCAAACAGATTACACTCATAGACATAACCAGGTAGCTAATATCATACATCAAGCTCTTGCTATTCAACATAACCTCATACAAGACACTATTACACCTTATTATAAATACATCCCAAGCACAGTTGTAGAAAATACAACACATAAGTTATACTACGACCGCGCCATCATAACTGACAAAACAATACATTATAATAGATCAGACATTACACTACAAGATAAACTTAATAAAATCACATACCTCATTGATATAGCTATACCTAACACACATAATATTACAAAGACAATTACAGAAAAAATCCACAAATATGCAGATCTCCAACACGAAGTTAGCAGAATTTGGAAACAAGAAAAAGTATACATAGTACCGATTGTGTTATCAACCACAGGAGTTATCCCAAAACATCTTCACCACAGTCTGAAACTATTAAGTATAAAAGAGAATAAATACATACAATTACAGAAAGCCGCCATATTAAATACGTGCCGTATTGTGAGAAAATTTTTACAAATAGATGAAAACGAAGTTACGTCCAATATCCCAGAACACACTACTTAATAAAATGCCCATATGCTTTTTACTTGGTGAACACCCGTAATTAGCATTAATAACGGCCGCAAGGCTAGAAAAAATAAAGATATAAAAAAATAATAATAATAAATGTTTTTATTGACATATAGATTTAACAAATGTAAGAACAGTGAGTAAACATCTAAACAATGTTCAAGATAAGATAAACAAATGTTTCCATTGGACCCTAAACTAGGATAATCCTGTATCTTGGGGTCCGGGAGCGCAAGTTATCTAAAGAATTGTACACAGTCTAACGAAAAAGAATAGCATATTTTCCTAGTGTAAATATAATAGTGCAGTATAATTTTACTCTGTCTGTGTGTGCGCGCGCGCGCGTGTGTGTGTGTGTGAGTGTGTGTGTGTGTGTGTGTGTGTGTGTGTGTGTGTGCGTGTGTGTGTTTGCGTGTGTGTTTGTGTGTGCGCTTCTAGTGGCGTTTGACTAGATCTTCAGTTTCCTCATATGTTAACGTCATTAGCCGTCATTAGTCTAATATGGTGACAGACCTGTGAGGTGTTGAGGTTTCTGATGTTATGGTATCGAGATATTTTGTTATAAGTGTGTGGATGTAGAAAACGTGGTAGGTGACTAGCAAAAGACGTTTTAATGTTAGGGACGGGCATTTTGTATACCCTTTTTTTTAAAAGATGTTGGTAGTTAGGCAGGTTTGGAGCGTTTTTATGACATCTCCTTATTACATTTAGGATGAACAATTGGCGAACAGATAAACACATAAGTAAAAAAGAATATTTTATATATTATTAATAAATAAAAAATAAAAGTATTCAACTTTTTATAAGTAACTTTATTAGCTGGGTTATTATCTTGTACTCCGGCATAATACTGAATAGCGCTCTGGTTGTGGTTGTGGCCTTACTGCTTCACTGCTACAGCTCAGTCGGATGTCTTTTCATGAGTGTAACCCCATATTTTAAATGAAATGTTTTATTGAAAAAAATCCATTAAGCATACTGTGCTGTGGTTATGAATGAACCTTTCTTCATTTTCTTTTAATAAACTGAAGAAAATTCTGAAGTATGTTGGTAGTAGAAATACACAGATATGAAATAATAAAATCAATTTGCAAAGTTGAGTTGTTTTGAAACATACAGTTCTACTTTAGCTACTTCATCTAGTTGTAAAGTATTTTTTTCCCAAAAATGTTTAAATTTTTATTAAATACGAGTATATTAACTTCAGGGGTGATCCTACTTAAATTAAAAAAAAAATCCATCCCTAGGAGTGTAAATATACGGAATGAAGATTTTAACGAACCTATGTAAACGATACTTTAGTCGTTACTTTAGACTTGCTATATTGCTTAGTCCAAAAGGATTAATTAAAATTTTTAAAAAAGGTAGAGCCGACTATAAAATTGAGAAAAATAATAATTTCACGTACTTATACAGGGTTATTTTTCAATAACTTTGTAGAGAAGGTTCAGAATAAGCAAGATAGGCAAATGATGAAGTAAATTAATAAAAAAAAAAAACTCAAATATTGTGTACGTTTTTTTTTAAATTCAAAATGCGTGGTAATGCTTTATTTTAACTGATATTACTACGCACGCACACATTCGTAAGGGTCGATCGGTAGGCAAAAACGTCTTTGCCCATAAATCACATTCAATTTGGAATAATTTTTTTTTACATTACAAATAAAAGTAGAAGCCTTATCTACTTGCATTTTCAAAAACTGTAATTATTTATTATTATTTTTTAGTCTTTGAAAAATAATCCTGTATAATAACTTCTGAAGTCGCTGTTTTTGTTTTTCCATACACTATGAGCACCAACTTCAGAAGCTATTAAGTGGAATTTTTTTAAATGTTTGAAGTCAGTTCTATTTTTATTAAGTTTAATTATTATGTCGCTATTTATATGTTAGTAGTGATATGACATCAACATTTTGACCTAGCTAGGCAATTTGATTGTCCCGGAGTGAGTCAAACACGGTTGGACCAGTGACCGTCGGCGACAAATCACGTACAAGCATTTACGGTAGCGCCGTGCGAAAGCTTTCTCCACGTTTTTCACACTTAACTATGAATAAACCTTTCAATACAATTACTAAATTTATTCATAATAATATCCAATTGGGTTATTGGGTTAAAAGGTGTTTTAGCCAGGTATAAGATTTATCGAATGCTTATAGTAATGGATTTAAATAGAAAATGAAAATACGACGTGAAATATTAAGTACTGTTTCTAATATGATTGGTTTTAGTTATTTTGTAGCAATTTTATGTGGCACAATAGCCTCATTTACTAATTACATTATTAGGTATATAGAATTTTCGAATTTAGAAATTTTTTACTTATGTTTTACGTGTCTTACAAATTTGGTATGTAAGAAGGAATATGTTAACATTTTCTGTTTTTATCTACTTCCGGACGGAGTTGAATTGAGGCAGTATGGCTATCGCCATAAACGTCCGACAGGAGACCTGCTAGTGTATGCCACTTACATAATACGGGGCGTGAATAACACTTTAGAGAAAATTAGGGAAGCAATTGTTGAAGCGTCAGTAGCCTAATGGCAGGGCACGGACCGTGAACTCGAAAGATTGTGGGCTCGTATCCGCCATTTGACTACTGTCGTGAACCACTTCTAACACAAGCATTTTAAGCTTACCAGAAGTGGTTAAAGGGAATATTAGTAATGTTTATTAAGAGCATTACTAGTATTTAAAATAAAAAACAAAAAGAAAACAGTGTTCCCTCGATGTTTCAAATGCCTTTTATAGGATAAGCCATGCTAGCGTTTTAGATAAACTTACAGCATACGGCTTATCCCTGGTCTGATCGACTGCATGAAGGAAAGTTTTAGTGAATGAGTCATTGTCGAAATTGCTCTTTCGAACAAGTGAAACTAATGCCGGAGTTCCTTAAGGATCCGTTTTCTACGCAACTCTTTTCTGCTGCATATCAATGACCTGCTTAAGCCTGGCATCGATGAGTGCGGTTCATATCCAGTCCGAAAGAGAAGGTATGCTCGAGTAGTCTCCAAATCTGGTGATGCTAATCTTGTAAAATGTAACACTTTTAATACACTTAATATTTCTGTCAAGAAAGAAAGAGGCAACCAACTCGCCTTGTTTCTTTCTTTTCGAAATATCATTATTGGAATTCACTTAACGCCTTCAGTTGTTAGTGATCAGTTTTTGAATATGAATCTTGGGCGGTTCACTGACCCCAGGGCCAAAGCAGCTGCAAGGAAGTCAGTTGTCTTTGCACATGCTAAATGCTTTCTCAATGTTAAGCGCGAGTATATTTACAATAGTCTGTATTTTTATTGTTGCCATATTTGGGCTGCTACTGTAAAATGCCATCGAGAAGAACTTTGGACTTAATAGAAAGGCGCAATAGAAGGCTTACTGGTATCCTCGCTTTAGTTAAAGCCAATCTCACCAGTCTCGTGCACAGGCGCAAAGCGCCTCTCGGTGTTCTACAGGATACATTTCGCAGAGTATGCGTAGGGATTGCATGACTTAATTTCTCCCTCTCCCTTCTATCAGCGTACAGGCCAGGCTCCACCCTTTTCCTATCGATATACCACGAATTCGGACCAAACGATTTGTTTCCTCCTTCCTAAGCAAACGAGATAATTTGTCAGAATTTGAATAGGCTTTTGCTAAGCTAAGTTAATGTGTTTTGCCATCTTCGGCTGCATCACCACTTACCATCATTAGGGTAGTAACAAAGTACTGGCTTAAAATAGTTATAAAAGAATCGATAGTAATACAATGATTTCATGACTATCTTAGTATTCTATCTTTAATACAGCTCCTAATCAATGCTTGTTGTTTTAGTTTTTAATTTTTTAAACTAATTTATTCAGATAATTGCACAAACTTTTCAGCAATTATTATTTTAATATTTTATAAAAGTAAAATGTCATTTTAGAATAACGTCATTAATAATGACAACTTGTAGTCTACCTTGTTTATAAACATATTTTTGTAAATTTTTTCAACATTTTAGTGAACTTTAGGCAGTAATTTTATATTACCCTCATTAAATTTATGAAGCAACTTTATGTACATTTAAATAGGATTCAAATTAATAAACGATTTGATTTTTTATTTGGCATTCAATCTTCTAATTCAAGTAAGGAAGTATTAATTAGTAATTATGTATTGTTATAATTAATTTAGTGCGAGGCTAAATAGTTTTAAAAAGAAATATGTATAGCAATTAAGATTTATTCTTGTAACAGGATATTTATCAATAAATACAATTTAATGTCATAAATAGAATTATATTGTGTATTGTAGTTGTAGGAGTATTGTGGTCTTGACTATTCATAGTCATTAACCTGAGAAGACGAAGGCTTACTTTAGTTTGATAATGTTTGTCAACAGTAAAATTCTGAATAGAATTTAATTATTTTCACTTAAACTTGATTACAAGTACTTACTAAACGTTATTTATGTTTTTACTACTAGTTCGAAAGAAACCTCGGCCCTGGAAAGAACGAGCAGGACCTTTGTTTAAATAATAATTTACAAAGAAATATAAAACATTTAGAAACAGCACGGCAGCGATCACCCAATTCTCAGGGGTTATTTTCAGTCACCTATTCTTTAATTTTATACTAACCCCTTTCGATGCAGCTTTTATTTAATAAAATTTTTAAAAATTTTGATAGATAGGTCCTTTAATTTTCTAGGACTTTTTTTGTTATTCTTAAGGTCCTGTAAATTTATAAGCCCTGTATTATTTCCTCCATGAACGATTGACTGATTTTCCGGAGTCGAGTGTTGGATGAATAATTCGGTTCCTGGTTTTTGAAATGATAGTTTCCCTTTCTGCAAAATGGCAGGGATTTTCTTTATATTTACCTACCTTCTTTATTTTCAAACCTTATTATTAAGGTTAAATTAATTTCTTGCTTTGTCTATATTTAGATTAAGTGATCACAATGCGGGCTCAACGAGAACTAGTAGGTTAGAAATAACTCGGAATAAAAACTCGCTCGATAGGTGACAAAGGAATTCTTAAAGCATGAGTACTTGAAGGGTCCGCTCTTGATATAAATAAAAGAGATAATTTGAAAATAAGGAATTAACGCTAATAAAAGCGTATTAAATAGGTACAGATGCGGACTACGGTAGAACGCCTTACAACCAGTAACTTTACTGGCTCTTTCAACCTTCGACAAATTATGCTAAAGATGCATTGTCATCTTTAAGAACTACGATGAAATGGCTCACAGTCTGTGATTTATCATATTATGTATTTAGAGTGGTAGAGTTTTGATGACAAGAGGAGCCTTGTGCTCAGCAGTGAGGCTTAGACCTTCACTTTACTTCTTTTCACTTTCTAGTGGTGGATAAAGTATGGGAATCACAGAAGAATTATGTGAAATACTCCAATAAAGATAAGGAAGCGATTTTGGATACCAGTGACAAATGGCGAAGGCAGTGTGGGTGCATCAAGACGAGCGAAAAGTTGCGACAGATTCTTGACTCCTTCCCCGCTCCACCGCCTCCAACGCCAATTAGTGCCGGCCCAAGCTCTGAACCGGTATTATAAACCTTATAATTTTAGTTTACTTAATCATTAAGCCTATCACAAGTCCACTGCCAAACATAGATCTTCCCCACGAGATTGCCACGTTCCAACAAAATACGGTCCTGAGCCACCTGCATCCATGACTACATGGATGTTTTGTCAGGTGGTCACTCTATTTTATTTTTGTTACGAAATGATAATTATTGCGTTATCAACAGTTACTTTCGCTTATAATTTTTAAACACTTCTTCGAAACGTGTTTTCTTAAGATTTCTTAGGCATATTAATGTTTGCAGTCTATTATTCCAACAAATATATTGAGAGATTCAACGTGATAAGCCAGCTATATTATTTTGCTTGCAGTGTGAATAGATCGGCTCGACCGGGGTAGAATAGTAGTTCAATGCTGCTGTATTTCGTTTGGAGTAATACTGTTAGCTTAGTGCTGCTGCATTAAGGTACTAACTTACGCTAGATGTATGTAGAGAACCGGCGACCCTTTATTGTTTTGCTGTTTACGAGACATTTTAATTTAGTCCTGAGGATAAATATCTATGGGCCACAGCTTCTTCTTTCCATTAGGTAGATTGTATTTCCGTTTGTTACCCATATTCTATAAAATACCTTTTTAATTTTTAATCAAATACATATGAATTCATAATTCAGCTAATCGCGTTTAAAGTTTAAGCATGATGGCGGTTTTTGAGCAATTTATATATGTAAATCAACACGATTCACGATACCTATATCGTGAATCGTGTTGATTTATTATTTATTGCTCCTAAGCAATCCTTGTCTAGGGAAAAATAAAAGAGGATACAAGATACAAGTACACGGAAAACGAATTTGACCCTGTGCTAGCGCGAATTGTTTAACATTGATGGTAATCTGCATTATCTGTTTTAATCGCTATAAAGGAGATAGAGCGGTAGATTTTTGTTTAATTATTCTCGCAGATAGAAAAGGATGCTAGTGCCCAGAGGTGACAAAGTATTTTATACTTCTAATGTCATTCCAGAATAATTTTATTAGAAACCAATCAAATCATTTCAGTATAATAAGAAAACTTAAATTTACGCAATGTGTTTCTTAAAACGTATGAAAGCATAAATAACAATATCAAATATTTTACATGTTAAGTTTTCATCATCTACGAGTATAGTTAGGCCTATAATAAAAAACGGAAAAGTATGGGCAATATATTTCTCTATATTGTATAACCTACTACCTACATACTTTTATGTAATTATAGTATTTTATTATACAAAAACTTTGATGACTGTGAATATAGTATGCGAGGATAATATGGTCACTTTCTTATAACTCAAAAACTACTGCCTTGTTTGCATAGATGGCTCTGTGACACGATAGCTCTTCATCAGTCTTTCATCTCACTCATCAGCATGTTATCGACGCCATTTTGATAGTCGACATTATAGTAAATATTTTAATCAATTTTAGTATTGAGTAATGTAGTATTTTTTTTTAAATTAATTTTTCGAAGTGTTCCTAAAACAAAGCTTGTTTATTTCTCTATTTTTTTTCTTAATATATTACTTATAGTATACGAATTTGTGTTTTTGTCTTGTCCTGCTCCTAGTTTTGTTTTTATAGGGCGGCATTACCCTCACGTACCTTATAGAAAAAGCTACCTACATTTATATCTGATGAAATAAATACACTTAAATCAATATTTTTCGCAGTAGGAGACTTTGATTTAAAATTTATAATTGTCGTTGCTATTTATATAAATTGGTTAAGATGAGATGGATGGATGAGGATTTTTTATTACAGCCACCCCATGCGGAAAATTGTATTTCGGCCTTCTGTACTCTTCACCAGCCTGCGTTCCCGTCTCGTGGGGAAGAGTATAAGGTTGATGACCCTTCGGTATCTGCAATCACGTCAAATGAAAATGCAAAGGAGCAAGTAAATATTACATAATAAATTTTACATTTTATTAATTCTGCATTATGTCGATTTATGCAGCATACTAAATCTATACAGATATTCTCCGGGGCGGTTTTGACCAATTTATGCGGTACACCATGAATAGAGGTCGGCTTGATCGGGGAAGGAACACGCTCATACAGAATAGCAGCATTGAATAGCAGCATAAAACCGCTGTTTATACACGAGACATTTTTACTGATAACGAGGCATTACATCTTAGTCCTCTGGGTGACAATGCCCACTTACAATGATGTCAGTGCCGTGGCTGGGTTAAAAAATCGGTAAGTCTTTATGTTCTTTGTACATTATTAAATAAATTAATAAAACAACATGTTGTGTAATATACTTTATAGGACCGCCACATACATACGGAATTCCGTTTTCCGTTTCGGAATTCCGAACGGGTCGGCCACATACCTACAGAATCACGCTATGCTCGCAAAATTTCGAACGGAAACTACCGTACGTGTATGACGGGTCATAGATTTTATATGGACTTGCTGCGTTCGGAATTCCGGTTCGGAATATCGAAACGGAATTCCGTTTCGGGATACCATTTCGAAATTCCGAACGGGTCAGCCACACACTTACGGAATCCCTTTTTGCCCGCAAAATTTCGAACGGAAAACTAAACGAAACGGAATCTCGCATGTATGTGGCCGACCATAGTCATCTATAAATATTATATGTATAATATGAATAAATATTGAATATAACAATAGGTAATATTGTATTATATAGTACATTATAATTTGCAAAATATATTATTTTACAAATATATAGTAGATGAATAAATTTATTTCCTGCCTTGTTATAAGCAGTAAATGTATTTGTAGGCTCGTGAGGTGAGATAGGATCAAGAGCGATCGTGACGTGGTCGGGCTCTCTGAGTGTTCCCAGAGGACGCGGCCTGAGTTCTAATAGTGTCCAAGTTATGCCTTTTTAGAAAAAATAAACATTCGTCTGTTTGATGGTATCATAACTTTGAATTACTGGCGTAAAACCTTGACCTCAGTACCAGTTTCTAAACTTCTGTATCTTGTCTCGAAAAGTCTTTACACTTTGTATCGATAGAAAGTTATTTTTAAGAGTGAAACATTTTATTGCAGCTTATATCCTTATTATTTACTAGCTGGCCAGACAGACGTTGTTCTGCTCTTTCCGATGACCGAATATTGAAGGTCACTTATCGCGATAAAAAGTGTCCTATCTCCCATGTTGGACCAAATTGCACAGAGTGTGCAAAATTTCATTGAAATCAGTTCAATAGATTAGGAGTTCATCGCGGACAAACAACGTGACACGTAATTTTTATACTATAAAGATTCATAAAAGTTATGAAGTAATTGTGGACTGTAACTGCTAGAGAATGTTATAAGGCATTAAGTCCGCACTTTATCTATATCCCTTATTATAAAGTGTGTAATAAAGGTTAAATAAATGAAATACAAAGATTTTTTTTAAATGTATTATAATTAGAAAAATAGTTGAATAAAAAAAAGTAAAATAATATTCTAAAATGTAAAATAAAATATTTCTTTCTTTTGTAAATATTTAATTTACAACGGCATATGATGTATATATATAAAGGCAAATGTAAACACATAAAGATATAATATTACTAGGATAAAATAAATAAGGTTACATTGTAGCTCAGGGACTAAGCTCTAGCTCATAATTTTATAGAAAACATTCTATTTTAAATTTTGTTAGAATAGAACTGGTTCGCAATGTGTAAAAATATAATCAGAAATTAAAAACATTTAAAGAGCATTGTAAGTCGGCCAATTCATATCGGAGCAGCGTGACAGACTTATACTACACTCGTACTACTACTATAATATAATCTCTCAGAAATGAGGAACGGGTTAAGGAAAGACCCGGGGCTAGATATACTATTATTTTATTGCTTGAAAACTTTAGCGGTATTATTTAATCTGATTGATTGATGCGACTTGTTACGTTATTAAATTATAAAAAAATAATACAAACATTTATTTAATGTCGGACCTTGTTTGAAGAGGTTTGGACTTCATAGTCGTTCTTTAATGCTCCTTTAACGCGATGTTATCTTTCTAGGTCAAATCCGAATACTTGGATTTGTTTATGTTCCGTAAGTAATTAGGCAATTCCGACTGTTACGTGTTCAGATATGAAGGTTTCTTTTAAATTTTTAATGTAAAAACTCATCAGCAACATAATACATCACCAGATCACCACAACTTATCTAAAGCCCATCGCTGAACATAGGCCTCCCTCATAGATAGACCTATATTATCAGGGATATTTTCCATAGTCGTTACGCTTGGCAGGCGGGCTGGCAACCTTAGTTTTTATATCATCTGTCGCCTCTTACGACACCCAAGGGATGACTTGCGGGGGGGGGGGGGGGGCTACACTGCATGAACAAACTAAATGCCCGTAATATTTACGTAATATATCTAGTAATATACTTAATAATCTTGTTCTATGTCGGTGTTTTTACCCGACTGGCAGAAAAACGGGGCTTATTTTAGGTTAATTAATTGAATTAGACGTTACTTTGCGGAAATCTATATTAAATTAGTAAGCTCAGAATCGCGCAATAAAACACAATGATGTATCTTATTACCTTATTACTCTAGTAAAGATACACATACCACCCTCGATAACACGACACGTGTTCCGTCTTTAAACGAGGCATTGCGAAGTAGACTCTGCTCTCTTCAAACTCGTAACACATAATTTTATTTTATTATGCATAACTTTGCTAATTAATTTAAAATACTATTTAATAATGTTTTTGGTCAAATTTCATTTTAATAATATATGTTCCTGTTCTTTGAAACTTTTCTACACTTACGACTCCTTCTACAATTCTCTCAGAAATCTGAGGTGGCCTGTGACCAGTAGTGGTGGGACGTATACGCAAACGCGGACGCTTTAACTTCACTTCACTTCGAAATTCGATCACTTATTCCAGCATACAGCCTTGAGGGTGATCACAATGCGTTAATTGTATTGGTTCATGCGTTTGGTATAGATAATATTCAGTTTATTTTACCTGTCTTAACGGCAGCATACATACATCATGGTTTCGAAACATCTATGGCACCCTAACTTTCGAATGATATCAATTTCATTTTCTCCTTTTATAATAAGTAGGTATTAAAAAAAAACGAACAATGTTCTATGTTCACGTACCTATAATAAAATAATGCTTTTGTTTTTGACTAATATATTTTTATCTGAGCAGGTGAGCAAAAGGTCGTGGCGTGTGCTCACGGAGTTGGTACAGCTGGTGCAACTGTCTGTCACAGCGACGGCTCTGGCGCTGTATTACCTCATCTACTGCTACATGCAACTGGTGTATTATACGTTGCGCAGTGCGTTGTACTTCCATCAAGCTGATGGGTGAGATCGTGTTCCTAAATCTTCTAGAACAATTATGATGTAGATTGGGAACAATATTTTTTTTACCAGTATATTAACATTATAGTGAAAGTTAGGCATGGATTTCTCCTCATTATTGATACGGTTTTAAGGCAAGGATGTGTCTGCTGCACTGCCTCCAATGCATGCTTTCTTGGCGGATTTTACGTCTTCGATTTTTTTTATTAATCCAGGGAATTTTATACGTGGTAGAGCCATGCTGCAGCTATATTATGGTTGTAGCACAAATGGGTCGGCTCGACCTGGGAAGGACCACGCTCTCACAGAATACCAGCGTAAAATAGCAGCACAACGCTGCTGTGTTTCGTATGGTGAGTGTGGAGAACCGGAGACCCTTTTTACTGGAAATGAGGCATTCCATCTTAGTCCTCACGGGGGTGACAACGCATCTGCATTTTGATTCGTAATTGAAGATAGATGTAGATGTCTATGGGCCGCAGCAACAACTTACCATCAGGTGGACTGTGTGCTCGTTTGTCACCCTTATCCTATATAAAAAAAAGAAAGCACTTCACCGCCGAGCCGGTGGTAAATCAGAACTTAAAATTGTAAATAATAATTCAATTGGTGTGTGAGGTTAAATATTGCAGTAGTTGGCGATTAACGGTTCTAATGCCAATAAATATGGTGGCCTATTTTTTCTATTACGTCAGCTATTAAATAAAATGAATGGTCAGCCGATGCAACGATTGCTGATGCACTTAGAAAAGGCCCATGCTTATAGTAGTTTATTAACGAAGTGATTATGAAATTTTTATAGTGGGGACAGATACAAACAAGGCTGTAAAGTAAAAGATTGGTATATCTAATAAATCAGCACTTACAATTGTTATTAACAACTTCGCGGGATCGAACTTTTGAAGCGTTAATTCCGTTTAATGATGTTGCGATCTATTTTGTTTAGCATTTTCTTTGCATGTCTCTTTTGTTTAGATACATCAAGAAGACAAATAATCTAATAGTTATAATACCTAGTAGTAAATACATTCTACAGTCTATTGACACCGGTAGCCAACGCTAACCTAAGAAGGCTCAAGATGTTTTGTCTAGTGGAACATAACACTGTGCACGGAACAGATCAGACATATCAAATAGAACAGAAAGTGCTCTGCCAGTAGTAAAAATAAATAGGTAAAATAATGACACGTAGCAAGGCGGAATCATTGATGGAAAAGGACCTAATACTTTAAACCTACTTTTTAAACATTATCGTCATCATTACAGCCCTTCACAAGTCCACTGCTGAACATAGGCCTCCCCCAAGGAATCCCACAAAGCACGGTCCTGAGCCATATTTATCCATCGACTTCCTGCATGTCTTACTCGTTCGTCACTCCATCTATTGGGGGGACGCCCTACACTTCGCCCGCCGGTACGAGGCCGTCACTCGAGAACCGTTTTTCCTCATCGGCTTTCGGTTCTTCGAGCTATACTTTTTAAACTTTTTACGTCAATCTTCTTCTTCATAAGCCCGTAAAAATCCACATATAATACTGTGTATAAGCCTCTCTTGTTATAGAGAGGAATGCTTTAATCTTCAATCTTGTCTGCGGACTGACTATCGCAATAACAGGCGTCTCGCACCTTATAGACTGCTCTCCGTCACCAGTCTGTAATCAAGTCGTAATCAAGATGGTGAATCGAAAGCCAAACCCAATCTTTTGATATATCTTTTTTTTCTTTATTTTGGCTCAAACATTTCCTATTTATCTAATATATTATTAGACTCACATTGCAAAGCGTGCATATTAAATTATTTGCGTATCACGGCTACATAAGAAAATTTTGGACCAGAAACGATATGACCCCCTCGCACCCATACCGGAAATTTCTAGACCGGCGACGGGAAGCAGCATTAAGGGTGCGGAACGTCCGTAACCACAATCGCAAATCCGTCTGCCAAGCCTTGCGATCACGGTGAACCCTCTCTACCACGGGAGAGGCACATGTCCAGCCATATCTTATAGTCGATTCGAATTTACGTGCCAGCAGAACGAAATAAAATGATGGATTCTCTTAAGGCACCACCATACAGCAATCTGTTATATAATCTGTTCAGTCGCATACATTATATACGCGACTAAATAGGATGTTAGATTGTCTTTCCGCTGTTTGCTTTATACCAATATTATATGGTAGCAATTTCTCACTGAGTGGCAAAGTATAGTTAATCAGCAAGGGATCACAGCCAACGTTCTTGGCACTATACCGCGGGGAGTAGGACTGTATGATAATTTAAGTTTTTAGTTTTAGTTTTTTTTTTCATTATGGTAATAAATATTGCATATTGTAAAATTATTTAAATAAATTTCTAAAAAAGCAATGATCAATAATGTTGCGGTTTTATTTCAGACCAATGAAGATAACAATCGGTGTAGTGACCTTGACGTCTCTTATCGTTGGTTTCAACCTGTTATTGCGGATGGAGCGTCTTTTATTTATCTTTTATTGAATGACACGTGCATGTGAGCGTTAGCAAAATTAACAATCAGTCTCTGTCGCTAATTTGTAAAAAAATTAATAATAAAATTAAATAAATAATAAAAGTATAAATATGATATAAGTGTCATTAGAAAGTTTTTTTTCTTGTAAATGAAATTCTAGCTACTCTGATATATACATATATAATAATAATAATAATTTTATTTATTTATCACCACAAAACCACAAAAATATGTCAACATACATACATACATACATACATACATACATGTAATCACGCCTCTTTCCCGTAGGGGTAGGCAGAGACCACTTCTTTCCACTTGCTACGATCCTTACATACTTGTTCCGCTTCGTCCACTTTCATTATTCCCTTCATACATGCTCTACGGTTTAGAGTACTCTTGACCTGGCCTTTTTTCAAGACATCCCTGATTTGGTCTTGAAATGTCCGCCTAGGTCTACCCCTTCCAACATTTTCATTCACACTCGCCTTATACACTTTTTTCGTCAATCGTTCTTCATTCATTCTCTCGACATAGCCAAACCATCTCAGCATACCTTTCTCAATTTTTTTATAATAATATATTAACACTAAAACTTAATAGCTATTAAACAAGAATGGTTGTGGATCGCTGTGGAATTAAAACCTGAGTTACAGGTCACCAGTCATCTTAGTTACCAATAAACAGCTTTTATTTAAAAAAATTATAAATATAGATGTGAGTGTGAGAGTTTATGAGTGCGCGCGAGTGTTTTTTGTGTATGTGTGCGTGCGTGCGTGCGTGCGTGCGTGCGTTTGTGCGTGCGTGCGTGCGTGCGTTTGTGCGTTTGTGCGTGCGTGCGTGCGTACGTGCGTGCGTGCTTGCGTGCGTGCGTGTGTGTGTGTGCGCGTGCATGAGTTAGTGAGTAGTGTGTAAAGTGTGTGTGAGAGTGAGAATATATGAAGAATACAATAGAAAGTTTATTTAAGAATATCAAGAAGACATTCAGTTTCCGTGACGACGGCAATGCTCATAAAGTAGTTCTGTAGAATATAAGCGAGGTTTAAAACAACACACCTTTAGTAAAGCGCTCTGGGCACGTTCAATTTGTATAAAGACTGTTTTAGTAGCCCCACCTCACGTAGAAATACAATAACCTATTACCGATTGGCACAGGGCATAATAAATCATTGACATAATATATGTGTCGGCAGAATGTCGAAGATCTTTTAAAATGTAAATTAATTTTCGTACTCTAGCAGATAAGTGTTCAATATAGTCTTGATATGTTAAGTTACTGTCAATTATTATGCCAAGATACTTAATAGAAGTAACTTTTTCTAAATAATACACATTGTCGATTGTAGTGTTGGTAGTTTGTGATGAAGTATTAACTATTATATTAAGTGAATTTGCTAATGATTGAGAACTCTTTCGTATCGAAAAATTTAGTACTTTGGTTTTGGTTAAATTTAGTGTTAGTAGGTGGTTATTGAGCCATTTTCTTGCATTATCAAGTACTTTTTGCGCTCGTTGGTATGTTTCATTCCTAGTACTGGCCGAAAAAACAAGTGCTGTATCATCAGCATAAGTAAATATGGAACCACCTTCTAGGCATAGATTACATAAGTCGTTAATATACACCAAAAATAATGTCGGACCAAGGATACTACCCTGAAATACACCATATGTAATAGGTTGGGAGGTACTCACGTATGAGCCAATTTTCACACACTGAACCCTATTTGTAAGATAACTGTGATATAGGCAGTCAAGCTTAGAAATTAAGACAGAGATCGAAATTGTGTAATATAATATATACTTAGTTCCTAAGCCGTGTAGTGGCGGTCAAGAATATCCACTACCCCATATCCTCCCGTGGGTGTCGTAAAAGGCGACAAAGGGAAACAGGCAGGAGATGGGCAGCAGCATCTTCCTGATAATAGCCAAAATTACAATAAAAAAACTGCGGTTGCCAACCCGCTCACCAAGCGTGGCAACTATGTCAAATACCCCCCCCCCCCCCCCCCCAATGATCAAAGCAATAAACAGACGGCCCCCAGTCCCCGGTGGCCCCGCTATTCCTGGCTACGGTGGCGACCATGGTAACGGCGGGGCAGGGGGTGCTAAGAATCTCCGGTGGAGGTTCGGTTGCCACCTTAGACGACTCGACCTGGCAACGTACAACGCACGCACCCTGAGGACTGACGAGAAGATTGTGGAGCTGGAAGAAGAGATAGACAAGTTGCGCTGGCATATTATAGGATTATCCGAAGTCCGAAGAGAGGGGGAGGACACGGTAATCCTCGAATCCGGCAACTTGCTCTATCACCGGGAGGGCGACCATCTGTCCCAAGGAGGTGTCGGATTTATCGTCCACAAGTCTCTTGTTAACAACGTTGTAAAGATCGGGAGTGTGTTGACGAGGGTTGCGTACCTTACACTCAGAATCACCAAACGGTATTCGCTGAAGGTCATACAGGTTTACGCACCAACCTCGGCACACCCCGATGAGGAGGTGGAGGAAATGTATGAGGATATCTCTAGAGCCATGCATTCCTCCAAAACCCAATATACGGTGTTAATAGGAGACTTCAATGCAAAACTAGGCACAAGAGAGAACGGTGAGCTGAAAGTAGGGAAATTTGGAATAGGGCAACGGAACCCAAGGGGCCAGCAGCTGGCCGACTTCATGGAGAAAGAGGGACTCTTTATGATGAACTCTTTCTTCTAGAAGCGGCCCCACAGGAAGTGGACCTGGTCGAGCCCCGACGGTTCGACAAAACATGAGATTGACTTCATTATGACGACCAGACGACAACTGTTCAGTGATGTCTCCGTGATCGCGAGGGTGAAAACTGGTAGCGATCACCGAATGGTTAGAGGCACACTGAACCTAAACGTTAAGTTGGAGAGGTCGCGTCTAATGAAGTCAACGCTCCGTCCCCCTCGTGCTCTGTTCCAAAGTCCTGAAACCTTTCAGCTCGAGTTACAAAACCGTTTTCAGTGCCTAGAAGACTGCAATGAAGTGGACGATATGAATGACAAGCTCGTGAAAACTGTCCATGCGGTCGGAGCTAAGTTCTGCAAGACCCGCCGCAGAAGAACACAAAAACTCTCCGATCACACTCTCAATCTCATGGCTGTTAGACGGGAGATGAAGCTACATTCTTCAACAGATTTGACAGCATACAGGCAACTGAACAGACAGATCTCCAAATGCAACTTGTATTGAAGAAGCGATCGAGCGGAACCAAGGCTCCAAAGTCTTTGCCAGAGATATGTGTGCCAGAAAGAGCCAACTGTCAAAGCTGAAGACCGAATGTGGCAGCACCGTTTCCGGGACACCTGAGATTTTGAGTGAGATTGAGAGGTTCTAAGGGCAGCTGTACACGTCATCGTTGGAGCCACACGCAAGTGTGAGTAACGATCCAAGAGCGAGTCTCATCCGACACTATTCCGAAGATATCCCGGACGTCAGTCTGAGCGAGATTAAAATGGCTCTCCAGCACCTTAAAAACGGCAAGGCCCCAGGCGAGGATGGAATTACAGCGGAGCTTCTGAAAGCGGGTGGAAGACCGGCACATGAAGTCCTTCAGAAGCTCTTTAATTCCGTCCTCCATGGTGGCATTACACCGGAGGCGTGGAGCAGAAGTGCGGTGGTCTTGTTCTTCAAGAAAGGTGACAACGCTCTCTTGAAGAACTACAGACCGATTTCCCTTCTGAGCCGCGTCTACGTGCTGTTTTCGAGAGTCATTACGAATCGTCTCGCGCGCAGACTTGACGACTTCCAGCCTCCCGAACAAGCCGGTTTCCGAAAGGGCTTTAGCACCATAGACCACATACATACCCTTCGGCAAATTGTACAGAAGTCCGAAGAGTACAATTTGCCACTATGTCTGGCGTATGTGGACTATGAGAAAGCCTTTGATTCCGTCGAAATTTGGGCGGTGCTGCAGTCCCTTCAGCGGTGCCAAGTTGACTGTCGGTATATCGAAGTGCTGAAGTGTTTGTACAGTAGAGCTATGATGGCTATCCGAGTACAGAACCAGAGTACGAAACCTATCCAATTGCAGAGAGGTGTAAGACAGGGTGATGTTATATCCCCGAAACTCTTCACCGCTGCATTGGAAGACGTTTTCAAACTTCTAGACTGGAAAGGATACGGTATTAACATCAATGGCGAGTACATCATTCACCTTCGAGTTGCCGATGATATAGTCCTTATGGCAGAATCGCTGGAGAACCTAAGCACTATGCTTAATGACCTCAATAGTGTCTCCCAACGGATAGGTCTTAAGATGAACATGGACAAAACAAAGATTATGTTTAATGTCCATGTCACACCTATGCCGGTAGTTGTTGGGAGCACTAAGCTCGAAGTTGTTGACGAGTATGTTTACCTGGGACAAATAGTCCGACTAGGTAAGTCCAACTTCGACCGAGAGGTCGATCGACGGATTCAACTCGGCTGGGCAGCGTTCGGGAAGCTACGACACATCTTCTCGTCAGACATACCTCAAAACCTTAAAACGAAATTGTACAACCAGTGCGTGTTGCCAGTGATGACTTACGGATCTGAGACGTGGTCCTTCACTGCTGGCCGTATGAGGAAGCTCAAGGTCGCTCAGCGAGCTATGGAGAGGGCTATGCTCGGAGTTTCTCTGCGTGATAAACTTAGAAATGAGTATATCCGCAGTAGAACCAGAGTAACCGACATAGCCCAATGGATTAGTAAGCTGAAGTGGCAGTGGGCCGGTCAAATAGCTCAAAGAACCGACAACCGATGGGGAAGAAAGGTTCTCGAGTGGCAGCCTCGTACTGGTAGGCGAAGTGTAGGGCGACCCCCCACGAGATGGAGTGACGACCTGGTAAGACATGCAGGAAGTCGATGAATGCAGGTGGCTGAGGACCGTGCTTTGTGGCATTCCTTGGGGGAGGCCTATGTTCAGCAGTGGACTTATGAAAGGCTGTAATGATTAGTTCCTATAATTATTTAAAAATATTGTTTTTTCATAAATTTACGTTA